AAAAGCGAGTGGCGCTTTCCCGATTCAAATGTGTTCTAAACGCATCACATGAGTTGTGGACGGTTACGTGGACTGAATAAAATATTAAAACTAAATTCAGGGAGTATTGTGAATAATGACAATAAAAAAAACTCCGTGGCTTGAGCCCGCAAGCGAACTATACCGACCGAGCGACCACCGCTTGTCGGCGAAGTTAATGCTAACTTTAGCGGATAGAGGGTATCACGTGGTCAGCGCAACGGATCCCCACGGTCATTAATCTCGGTTTTCTAGACCGGAGCCGCTATTTCCTTGAAATAGCTCCTAAATTATCCTCACGAGGCTGGGTGGACCACGTTCCAGACTCACTACTTCTCAGAAAATCTGGTAGCGCCGGGAATGGAACCCGGGACCTCTGGATCTGTAGCCAAGACCTCTGACCACTAGATAACAGAGGCGGTCAATGACAACGAATTCGCTCGATAAATCAGTACCTTCTACAACTAACAAAGTGGCGTCCGTGAAGTATTCATGAAAAGAACTACAGTACATGAGAAATATTGTTGTAAAGCAGGAGATGAAAGCATTACCATGGATGTTTTAGATTTCACAATGATAATTTATGTAGCACTGTGGCTAGCCACGTAAAATCTGATTACGTGCTACAGATAAACGTGATTTTAAACTGTGCATGATACATTCATCAGCGCGCTGAGATGTACCAACATCAGGGCGTAAACCCTTGAGGCTATGTTTATAGAGGAACGGAAAGCAGCGTTCATTTCCCCCACCCAATAAAGCGTGGGCTATTTATACTCAAAACAAACTATACGGAACGTTTGTTCTCAAGTTTAATGCAAGTGGTACGGACTATGTGGCAGGGGCGAACCCATGCATGTTGTGTTGCAGTTCTAGTCGCATTTATCCCACAGGTTTGGGGAAGAACCGAACTGGCGCGTAAGGAGCGTAACCTTAAGCTTAATTTGCCTGTTCACGTGTTTCATCTCACAAATTATTGCAAGAATTCGACAAAATTTTGTATTACAATCTACACAATAGTTATAATATTTTAAGTTTTCACAGCGGTGGCTATGAAGAATGCCATCTTCTGGGATGTGACGCCGTGCAGATCTTGTGTGAACCGACGTTTCGGAGGAACCTATCGCCTCCATTTTCAGGGTAGAAAAATCCGTGAGCGAGAAACCAGCGTGAGCATGTGGTTACAGACCTCGCTAGCAGATTTCTCTACCCTGAATATGGAGCCGATACATTCCTCCGAAACGTCGGTTCACACAAGATTACACGGCGCCAAATTCCAAAAGACGGCATTCTTTACCCAATAATTGTTTTTCATATTTAGGTGTGCTTCATACTGGAGAATTTTAACGCCTACTTCATATGAAATTCTGACTGAACTTTTGAAAACTCGAAAATGACTTATTACGAAGATATTACAGGACACGATATAAGGGTGACATTAACATAAATGTTTATTTCCAACACTAGCATAAAGTTTTTTTGAAATTTCAACGTAAAATTTTTAAAACTACACTTCGTAAAGAAAATATCTACACTGCAAACATCGAAAAGCTCTAGAAAAATCGCCACGTTCATACTACGATTAGGAAACTTGGCAGATTCACAACATGCAACAAATGGGACTGCTATAAAGAGAAACTTTTTTTTCGGTAAAGAGGGGAACTGCAATACCAGCTCAAGCATATCTTCTACTTCTTCCATCTTCTCTCCTGTTCGTAACTACTACCAACCCCGTAACATATCTAACGAACGTGCCGCAGAACTACAAAGGATTTTTTTTTTAATTCGCTTAGTGGGGGGGTGGAGTCCAACTGGGTCCACTCAGCACGGCGGCCACTGATTTTCCTATTGTAGCCTGCCACGGGTGATTATGATGGAGAATTTGGTGAAATAAAGATTGGCAGGGGAAACCGAAGTACTCGGAGAAAATCCGCCCCCGCGCCACTTTGTCCACCACAAAGCCCACTTGATCAGAACCGGGATCGAACACGGGCCGCCACGGTGGGGAGTAAGCGACTAACCGCTTGAGCTACAAAGCTTTTAGTCTTTCACGTATTAAGGACTTCTCGATATTATGAATACTTAAAGAAACTCAAGGAGAAATCATCTCTGATACAGTTCAGTGTATCTGTAACACTAACAATCTGATACAATGTATCTCACCTGACGTAATTACACAAACAAAAACAAAACAAACTCCGTGGTTTTAGTCCGCAAGCGAACTATACCGACCTAGCGACCACCGCTTGTCCGCGAAGTTAGTGCCAACTTTAGCGGATAGGGGGTGTCGCATGATCTCCGCAACGGATCCCCACGGCCGTTAATTTCGGTTTTCTATTTCTTTGAAATACTCGTAGGTCCTCAATTATCCTCACGAGGCTGAGTGAACCCCGTTCGAGACCCACTACTTCTCAGAAAATCTGGTAGCGCCGGGAATCGAACCCGGGACCTCTGGATCTGTAGTCACGAACTCTGACCACTACACCAGAGAGGCGGTCTAATCACAACAGAAACGAAATTGAAAATAGAGTCGTCTTCAAGCACGCCTTTCATCTCCTTTTCAAAGAGCAGTTCAAGGGCCGACTGTTTTGATCTGATAACTGTGAGAAGAAATTCACCTGGGGCACATTATAATTCTTACGCTTCCTTCTTTTTGTGATTTTGCCCACTACCCTTATTTTATACGTTAAGGCTTACGGCATCACCCTGTTTGCGTATCTGTTCCTCTTAACCTTTGAATCAAGTGACAGGATTCCTTATACCTAATCTGATGTACAGAAACCTTTAATATTTTATTCCTGAATTCCCTAAAATCAACGATACTAACATAACAACCGTCCTGACGTGTGTAGCGGGAAAGATACTACGCCATTTTGTACATGGGCATCAAATTTGGTACTGTGGAAGACTTTCAAAATGTATCCAGTATATCTTGAGGTAATATTTTCTTTAGAATACCTATAAAACAATAACATGGGACTGGCCGAAAACTTTCATTACTTTTCTTTTTAATGGTGATAACGAATTTATTACAAAATGCATTACAATTTTGTTATGAAGATCCTTCCAGCTGCAGTATGGCACTGGGGCCGACGCATCGCCTAAGAGAACGAGTTCCAGGAATATTCCTGGGGTGGGGGGTAAAGGTCGGCCGGTGCGTAAGGCTGACAACCTTACCGCCATCTGTGAGCCGATTGTTAAGAAAATGTGGGAGCCTCGACGTCTCACAAACCTTATGAGCCTCCATAGCCTGTTACATGGATAGCTTTAGATAGCTTAAATACAGACTTTGTTCGGGACTATTTCATCGGTTACCAATCAGAAACCTGACGATGGTGCAAAATTTTTTGGTCGAAGTCAAGGTCAAGTTTAACGTAGTCGGAATAATATGGATTGGTTTTATTTATTAAGCTGTGTAATTATATTATATTATATAAATATCATATACGTATATTAAATATACAGATAAAAGGATGGATGTTGAGTTTTGAAAGCCAGATGCTATAATCCACTGCTTTAATAATTACATATTGGTAACGTAATGCTGATCTCACCGATGGTGTCTCCACCTTATTGTAGTGGTGCGGTTTCAATGCTCCTGTGAACCTGAGAGCTATGCCGGCGGTAGCGTAGCTACTGGTAGTGTCACCCATGCCGACCTCTATTTTTTTTTTATTGCTAGTGGGGTGGGACTAAGTCCCTTGTACTGCGGCCACTTCTGGCCTATTGTACCAGCCCCAGATGATAGGTGAGGATGATTGTGGAGCAATTGGTGGAATGAAGATTGGCAGGGGTAACCGAAGTACTCGGAGAAAACCTGCCCCAGCGCCACTTTGTCCACCACAAATCCCACTTCACCAGACCCGGGATCGAACCCGGGCCGCCGCGGTGGAAAGCCAGCGAATAACCGCTTGAGCTATGACGCGGCTTTGGACTCTACTTATTCACAGGATCACACAAACATGGAATAAACGCACACAAACATTCTTGCCTCGAGTGGGATTCGAACCACCAACCCCAGTGTTCGAGAGGGCGAAGACGATTTGTGCCTTAGACCGCACGGCCACTGTGATCGGCGTTTGTAATCCATACCAATTCAAAATCAGTTATCACTTTCTAACATCACTGCAGTATCAGTAAACCTACCTACTATGAGGAGATGAGGAAAGCATAACAGCGGAACACCGAAAGCGGCCATGTACTTAGCATTTCTGATGCTGCAGATTCCAGTTTCTAAAGAAATCCAGTTACTTCGATTGAGATTTCTCATGCTCTTCCTCAGTCCATCCCGGAAAATTCTGATACAGGCCTCACATAGGCCACGACCGCTTCCTTTTAATGACCTTCCAAATTCACTTGTTATTATACCATTCTACGTTACATAGGCAGTGACGCTAATAAAGCGTCGTAAAGTAACTCGATAAACAATGCTGAACAAATTTGACGCGGTCTGTTTGACCCTAGACGGCATCCCTTAACCACGTCGCCTGCTCACAGCAATAGCACACGGAAGGGACGATACAGCTGTCACTTTCGAGGAGTCGAATTGGAAAGAAAGAGACCGTCACATACTGTTATTCCAATACATTGTTCTTGGTTTCGGAGCTGTTCAGGAAAACCATGAAACCCACTTGACCGGAAGGAAGATACTATAATTATGCTAGCAGCCTCTCGAAATTAACTAAACTGAAATTAAATAGTAAATTCCTAATTATGTTACAAGACACTTTAACAAAACGTCTAGGTTTTATTTTTTGCGAAGTAAAAGGCGACCACTTTAATTACAACACAAAATAAAAGGACACGATAACCTGTTCTTAGTCTTGATATGATTAATTGCTAGCTTATCTGTAATTACGGTACAACAAGTGCTAATTCTCTCCAAATGAAATTAGAACACATGGTTCACTTCATGTTTATAAGTTTTATTAAAAACCCAGTTCCAATGAATTAATAATGAAGAAAATTAATTAACTACTTACACTGTCTACGAAACCGCTGTCCGTCTATTTAACTTCTACGACTTCGCGCACTTTTCAACAGCCACTCCTATTGCAACCATACAACCATTATCGCGGCTGCTTTGTAGCAGACTAACAGCGAGTTGACGAGTACAAGCCCGCCCAACACAATCTCGATGTTCATTGATAGTGTCACAGGAAGGAGTTACCCAGATAGAATCGATTTCACATTATACATGTGCAGGAAGCGCAAAGGCACAGACGATTTTGGCATTGCTACCATCTATCAGTAGTTCTTGAAAATATTATCAACAAAAAAAAACAGTCGGAATCCTACGATGTACGCTGTGGCCATCTATGAGCAATTGGCGAAAGGGCACACTCGGCGCAAAATCGACTGCAAGTTAACGCGGCGATTTCGAATGACGCAATGTAGTTTGGTGTACAGGTTTTCACACTATACCTACCTTCTGCTCTGAATTGGTGCAATCACGTCCCTTCAGAGAGCTGATACATGCTTACCAAACTAGATGGCATCACATACTGGCGGTATACAGTATTCTTCAGTCATCATCATGAGAATTTCAAATTTCACAGGCGTAATTCAAGTGGAAGGCTCAACCAATAATTCAGTTAATGAAAAGATTTTTTGAGGAGATTTGCAGTGGCGACTCCTGACAGTCTGAACAGGTTGGTAGACAGTCGAAAAAAAATTCCTCTCTACCTCATCCCTACTTGCAAGGAAATAAGTAAATATTTGTGTCATTACATGCTTACATTGTAAGAGTTTGTGCTTTATGGCAGTCAATTTGCCATTAGCACGCCTGTGTGGAAAAATATGCACTCCAATTTGAGGAATCACTTTTGGCATTTATGGATATTACTTGCATTTAACACCTCTAGGTTCCTGGACTCTCTTAGAGAGATAGGATGGGATGATATGGACTACATTGATTTGGCTCAGGATAGGGACCAGTGGAGGGATCTTGTGAACATGGTAATGAACCTCTGGGTTCCATAAAATGCTGGGAAATTCATGAGTACCTGCAGAATTGGTGGCTCCTCAAGAAGGGCCCAGCTTCATAAGTAAGTGAGTTAGGTTCCTGGACTCACATGCAACATTCTTGTTATCTGCTCCTCCTCTTCCTTCTCCTCCAGGAGCTACAGTCCATGATGAACCTTGGCCTCTTCTATGGCTGTTTTCCATTGGTCATGATCCTGTGACTTACGTCTCCAATTATAACATCCACTGTCTTCAAATCTTTGAACGAATCCAACCACCTGATAGCAGGTCAGTCTACTCCTCTGGTACCCTCTGGAAGTACTCCATTCCTATACAGTGACAGCACACTCCAGGTTCCCCTTGATGTCCTTGATGTTGCTAGGTTTTTCAGGAGTGTATGTCTGGCTGAGATTGTGAAAAGCTTCTAAACAATTAAGGCATTTTATGGGATGAGGTTGTCACCCCAAGCCCAACTTCCAACTTGGAGGACCACGGTATCTGTTTTCATCTGGGTCATCACCTTTGACCTGTTCCACATGGGAGACCGTACCAGTAGCTATGCTACTGCCAGTATAGCTCTAAGGATACGGCCACACAAGCCTCACCCCTACGTCAAAGTAGGGATACCGGCAGGGGATCTTCATAATCTTCTGAACATAATTCTGCTTGGGAAGATGGCATTGAAGTTGTTTTTTATAACTATAAAAATATGTCATTCTAACATATTCTGTGATATAAATTAAGGACATTTTATTATATGCAAAGCCAATACTTTCTTGCGATTCATTAGTAAAAATAATAATGTCTTTATCCCCTCTATATCATTAATACATTGTGCCATAATCAGTGATCTCTCACCTTCCTCTACATGGAAGAAAATGAAGTGCTCCAAAAGCATACATGATGGCATTAAGGAGTATAATTCCATCTTCTGCAATCATATTGCTGCATGAATAAGAGAGCCTGAATTCTTTTAACATGTAATTAATGGACTGCTCAATGATTTTATAACAGGACTCATTAGTCATTTTCCCAGTATTTTGGAACTGCCTCTGTGGTCTAGAGGTCAGAGTTCCTGGCTACAGATCCAGAGGTCCCAGGTTCGATTAGATGCGCTACCAGATTTTGTGAGAAGTAGTGGGTCTGGAACGTGGTCCACTCAGCCTCGTGAGAATAAATGAGGAGTTATTTCAATGAAATAGCGGCTCTGGTCTAGAAAACCGAGATTAACGGCTGTGGGGATTCGTTGTGCTGAACACGCAACACCCTCTATCTGCTAAAGTTGGCATTAACTTCACCAACAAGAGGCGGTTGTTCAGTTGGTACAGTTCACTTGTGGACTACAGGACACAGAGTTTCATTTTCTTGTTTTTGTCCAAATCCTTTTTTTATGGGGGAGAAATTTGAGAAAGAAACTGACTCGGACTGAAGCCCTATACATAAAACAGCAAAATTAATAATTTCTCCAAGTTCTTTCCTCTAAAACAAACGATTTTGCATTTACATTTATCCTATATCATTGTTGGTCTCCAATATACAGAGCATGATAATCAGATGAACACACACAAATTACTGGTACATGTACACAGTCTCAACTTCAGATCGGGATGGAACGATAGCCTGACATAACAGTGGGGACGCAAGAAAAGCGGGAGTGCACCCCTGTGAACTGGCTAATGGTTCAATGTACCTTTTGACGTGAGTCTTTTCTATCCATTTCTACACATCACCTTTCTTTCTTCACGAGTTCTGTTTCTGAAGCTCAGGGCACTGCCTGGAAAGGCCTTGCAGTGTGAGGTTTATTCTAAATTCTCATCTGGTGTCAATTCTAAAACACTTTCGGACTTTTTCCTTCCTTCTACCAGGCAGCCAGTCAATCCACTGTCTACCGGGATAAGTCTGACCTGTGTTCCCCACAGGCTTGCAGCTTCCCACCAGGATGGTGCACACCACATAGAACTTTTTGTTTCTAATTTTTCGGTTGCACTAATCCTTTCTTAATGTTCCAGTTCACTGATAAATTCTGCATATTTCGTTATTTGATAATATATCGTAATACTGTTTCAGAACCGCCCACTCTGAGTTATTTGTTCACCATTCTATAGATCCCCCTTACTACCCATCTGATCCATGGTACTTACTTACTCATGGAGCTGGGCCCTCTTTGTGGAGCTGCCAATTCTGCAGCTACTCAAGAACTTTCCAGCATTTGATGGAACCCAAAGGTTCATTACCATGTTCACAAGAGCCCTCCACAGGTCCGTATCCTGAGCCAGATCAATCCAATCCATACCATCCCATCCAATCTCCCTAAGATCCATTTTAATATTGTTCACCCACCTATGCCTTGGTCTGCCCAGGGGCCTCTTTCCTTCTGGCTTTCCCACCAATATCCTATATGCATTACTCTTCTCTCCCATTTGTGCTACATTCCATGCCCACCTCATCTTCCTTGACTTAATCATTACACTTGGATAAGAGTAAAAGTTATGAAGTTCCTCATTATGCAGTTTTCTCCAACTTCGTGTCACTTCACCCCTCTTCGGTCCAAATATTCTCTTCAACACCCTGCTCTCAAACACCCTCAGTCTATGTTCATGTTCTTCCCTTAATGTCAGAGATGAAGTTTCACATCCATACAGAACCACAGGCAAAATCAGAGTTTTGTATATTCTAATCTTTACGTTTTTAGACAGCAGATGAGAAGACCAAAGGTTCTGGACTGAATGGTAGCAAGCATTACCGGAGTCTGATCCATGTTAAGTAAGAGAGATAGTAGTGGTGGCACGCTGCTTGTAGAACCGACATTGAAGTGGCCTGAATATCTGGCTCCATTATAAAGAGACCCTTCATTAAGTAACTTCAACCTATATAAATCCTTGCATTTTATCATAAAGGCATGCATAATATAATTGTTCTAATGTAAACAATATTTCACATTTTTTGTGTGCAAACTGTAAAACAGAAATGTGTGCAAAATATAAGTTCTGGCTCATAAATAAATAACGTTTTACAACAGCTTCACACTTCTTATACAGTAAAACATGTATAAGTATGAACTTAAATTAAACAAAAATCTGTCTTTGACAGAAACATTCCTGGTTTGAAGACTGAAAGAACCACTTTACATGGAAATGGAAAAGAAAAAAAAAAATTAACTGAAAATAATCTGAGCATTTATTGGTTTCTTTTCATACGAACTGTTTCCAAATTGTGACTCCTAAAATTTACATCTGAAGGAACATTCTTAGATCAAACTAGAAATACAAATGTCAACAAAATATGCACAGAAATAAGAAAAGCAAAATAAAGACCTGAAAATATTTAACACTTTGCGGACCAGCAATTTAAATATTTAAATCACCCTGGGGACTGGCATTTTTATACCTACTACCCTAACTCGTGCAGTGTTCACTTTAAAAATTAATATAAAATCTCATAATTAATTTTATGAACTAAAATTTTTAGAGAACATTTACCAGAGCTCCTAGAAGTGCTTGTGCATGTGATATCTCTGGAAACATTCCCCTTTGTGAAGAGAGCTCTCACTGTCACATTCACTGAGGCTGGCCTCGCTCTCAGAAGACGAAGCAGTTGGCAAGTCTGATAGCTCATCGGAGAACAAATCTAATATTTCTTGTTCTCCGAGAGAACTCTTCGCCTGCAACTGCTTTCGTCTCTGATCCATGTTGAACTGCTATCTTCCTGGTTCATATGTGGAAGCTTGGACTCGAACAAAGGCTTTTTTCTTTAGGATGTGACAGGAAATGACCGTGATCATGTTACTGGCTAAGCTAGCAAACATTCCTGAGGTCAACTACGCAGTAGTTGTGATGCAACGTGGCCACACAGTGAGATNTACATCATGAAGTTAATTGTCGCGTTATACACCCAATACGCGACAGTATGTTTCCGCATATAACCCGAGAGTCACCCAGGGGTGTCCACATGAGGCCTGCGTGTGGTGGGAGTTTATGGGTTAGGTCGCACTAAGTCTGTCTGACTCTGATTCTGCCGCCACCATCTGGTCTGTAGCCCAAGCCTTTGCCACATTCATCAGAAATGCTTTGTATTTCAATTTTGAATCAGGGTTTAGATTTTTGTAAACCAAAAATGTATTGAAAATGGCACAATTTATAAGCCACAAGGCAACTTTCACTTTTATTATCTGTGGCCACAATTCTTTGTTGATCCCTGTCACTTCCACTGTCTGAGTCACTAATCACTACTCCTCCACAAGGTACATCAGATAGCTCCATAAACAAGTCCGGGAGAGATCGCTTGCCTTCAACCGCTTTTGTCCTTGAAACATATTCCCCTCTACTAACTTCCTGCCTGGTACATAAACAGCTGGAAGGGGCAAACTTTATTTTCTTTTGGAGTAGGGACCCTAGGAAGCCAGCTCAAGTTACTGAATACCTAGCATACATTCCGACGATTTATTATGCAGTATTCATTGCAGTTGCATGGCGCCAGAGCAAGGTATAGTGTGTTACAACCTAACGTGTCCTAAAAGCATAATATCATGCCACCGGTCCGCCATGTTTAAAAGCGAAAAGCCTGATATCATGCGTCCAGTCCGCAAATTGTTAATAACAGTGAAATGTGTTTGTATAACATGGATTTCTAACAGGTGAGTTGGATCATAAATACTTGAGGTATGCACTGTTCAATATTTAATACCTCAAACTAATTACCTGTGTTAAATGGAAACCTGGTTCATATGGAAAAATTTTCAGGGTTTCTGAAATTATATATATAAAATTGGGATCCATCTATTAAACTACACACCATATCCCAGAAGACTATATCTGTGAGTCACAACTCCAAGAACCTCAAATCTCACAACATTTTATAATGTTCAGCATTGTTCAAGATCTTGTTACTTCTTGGCTAAGACATGGTATCAAGATCTGTGTCATAGTTCTGAGGAACACCACTCTGGCCCTTACTGGCTAGTACAGCTTCATTCTGGCCCAAGTTCTGTTCTAACCCTTGCCAACTCCGCTTAGTGAGGAATTCTGAACCTGTTGCCAGATTTGTTGACACTGTTGAATCGCCTTTCAAAGCAACAACACCTGATGTGGGAATGCTGTGACTAGAAGAATCCCATCCTGGCATGACACGGGCTTGACCAGTAATGAGAGAGATATCTGCAGTGTCCTCTGTAGTGCCATCAAGATTGTCTTCAACTTCCTGATAATGTCTTCCACCTAGAAATATAAAACTACAGTAGAACTCCTACAAGTATACAAAACATTAATAATACCTGTTGCTACATAAGGGACAGAAACATGGACCTTAACAGTAACAGAAGACAATGCACTGAGAAGATTCGAGGGAAAAATAATACGCAAAATATATGGACCAGTGATTGAAAATAATATACAATGAAGAGATAAATTACTGAAATGAGACAATATAGTATGATTTATCAAGTTACAGAGAATAGATGGTTGGAAGATAATGCAATGCCAAAGAGAATCTTAAAAGGAAGGCTATATTCCAAAAGAAGAAAAGGAAGACCCAGGATGAGACGGCCAAACAATGTTGAGAACAACCTGAAGAAGACGAAGGCAAAAGGATGGATAGAGAAGATGACGAATAGAGAGCAGTGGAGACTGGTTGTAGAGGAGGCCAAGGCTCACCCAGGGCTGTAGTAGTGGGTCTGGAACGGGGTCCACTCAGCCTCGTGAGAATAATTGAGGAGCTATTTCAAGGAAATAGCAGCTCCGGTCTAGAAAACCGAGATTAATGGCCGTGGAGATTTGTTGCGCTGACCATGTATCACCCTCTATCCACAAAAGTTGGCACTAACTTCGCTGACAAGTGGGGGTCACTCGGTCAGCATAGTTCGCTTACAGGCTAAAACCACAGAGTTTGTTGTTTTTATCATGCCCAAGACACAAAACACTGACCTGTCTGCAAGCCATACAGAAATATCTGAGTAGAAAGACTGAAGATGAGTCCATGTAATTCAATGCAGGTCTTAGCCCCATATACGTTCAGGTTACACTTAAGCTGGGCCTAAAGATATACCACCTTGAGTTACGTGAAAGAAAGGCTCTACCTTTCTTTCAAGTCCTCTTTTCTTTAAAACTTCATAAAAAGCTCTTACATTTTCTTGAATAATCAAAGTAGACAAGGTATATACTGTTGCTTTTGAAGCTTAATCCATATGGTAAGCATCTTCTTTTTTTCCATCAATGCTAGGTAATAAATAAAAAGCATTACTCAGCACTGAGTTACAATTATTAGAGGTTTCTTGTGTTTTTTTTCCAGAATTATCGTGAAATAATCAAAAAATGGATTCATTCAAATTTAAAGCACATTTTCTGTCAGCCTTATGATCTTCTGGCATTATCAAAAGTTAAAATCCTCTATGGTATAATATGTTGCAGCTTAAAAGGTGACATAAAGACTGACTGAAGCTTCCAAAAGTGTAGGCGCAACTATACAAGTTGCAGTTGCACTGGTGGTCATATTAATGCAAAAAACCATGTGTAACATAGATTTTTCTAGTTATATATTCATACACGTAATTATGTGACTTGAACACACAACTGTGATAACACTCGTTGACACATACAGTGGAACACTTATTTAATGTTTTTCTTCATTTATCGTTCAGTGTCAACGATTCCACATCATTCATCTCAATGGTTACATACCTCAGTTTAGTGTTCAAATCAACTGCTCCCAAAAGAAACCTTAAATAGGGATTTCACTGTATATGACAATGAAACAAAACTCTAAAAACATCAACCCGACCGGATTTCTGACACATCAAGCAGAATATGCTCCATTGGCTCAATTAATTTTCTTGCAGGAAAACAAGCTGAGTCCATGTTTATATTGCTCTCCAACAGAGGTACAGAGTCTTGTACTGTGACAATATCATTGTAATTGTAATCTATACAAACCTAGCAGAAGATGCTGGAACTCAAGTACATAGCCCTGGCTCCATTCTCTATTTGAATTACATGCCAATTCCACCTCATAGGGAGTTACAATGGGACGATAAAACCCCTTGGAGTCCAATAATGAATTCTCTGGACATGCTATCAACACAAAGATATCAATCTGAAACAAAAACACAAATTAATTCAACTATTTGCTTTAAAAGAATTGTTACTTTTATGCACAAAGTCATGAAGGAAATCTAAACTTTCAGGCACCTCTAAGCATATACGTAACGTTCTGTTCTATATACGCTGCATTCAACGCAGCTATGCTAGTGGATGATGTCATGTACAAGGCAAAGTTCCAAGAAAGGGAAGGCGGCAGTAGCTTCCTTCCATACAGTTAATACTGTGACATGCTGAGCTATGGATGACGCCCCTCCCCCACCCCCCGCCAGCCGTGATGCGCCGAGCGAAGCCGAAGCGAGCCGATGTTAGCCGAGTCCTAGCATCCTGGTCGCTAGGCAACGCGAGTCAACAGCGGTGACGTCACCAAGTAGTAACAGCGGTTACTTCCGCTAGCGTTACTAGCAACACAGCGCCAGGCAACAAGGGTGCCTATGACGTGGCTGTTTTCCATATTGTCCGATCAAGGCTACATAAGGAGCGGCGAAGGCTATTCACAGTCAGTTGTACTGAGTCAGTCAGTTAGTCCTGGAGCTACCTACGAGTTAGTCCTCGAGTTAGCCAGCAACCAGTCAGTTGTATTGTGGCATTTGGAATGTACTAATTGTGATACTGCAGATAGCAGTAATTGTAAAACTGTCAACTGGGTGATTGTAAGTGCGAATGTGAAATAAAATTCGCTACATCAAATACATCGTGAAGTTATTTGTCGCGATATACGCCAGATACGCGACAATACTATAACAGAAACCTACATTTATATTCATGGATACACAATTTATGCTTCAGCATCTAACTGAAACTTCAGAATTACAAGTCTTTTTCAGTGCCTGAAAGTTCTTCAATAGCGTCTTGTTCTGCTTCATTAAATGTGTCACTGGAATTCTGTCAAAATCACGTAATGGAATTATAAAATGGACTGTTGTTAGTATGGCTGCACCATAGCTCAAGCAGTTAGTTGCTGGCTTCCTACCGCAGCGACCCGGGTCTGGTCTGGTCAAGTGAGATTTGTGGTGGACAAAGTGGCGCTGGGGCGGGTTTTCTTTGAGTACTTCTGTTTCCCCTGCCAGTCTTCATTCCACCAAATTCCCCATCATCATAATCACCCAGGGCAGGTATAATCGGCCAGTCAGTGGCAGCCATGCCGAGTGGACCCAGTTGGACTACGCCCCGAACTAAGTCAATTATTACCATGACCAAATCTTCTTCTAAGTATTGTTATAGGCACAATAAATGATTATTGTGAGTTCATATTTTATTCATTACAGATCAATGTTTATTGAGAAGGTAATAGCATACATGTGTTATTCCCAATGTAGAAAATGAAATCTTGTGTAAATTGTTTGTTATTCTGAGCCTTGGTCAGGGGCAGAGTAGAGAAAGTGAATGTTGTTATTGAATATTACAAATCTTTTGGTGAAATCCATAGTCACTGACCAAAGTTCATAAATACATCGGAAGAGTACTGGAAAGGGAAAGCGCCCCTACGGCAATGTTGTGTGAGCAAGTGTTACATGTAAACTAAAAACATAGTGAGGGTTGGCATCTTCAAAATCTGTATAAATACTCAGCAACTGCCACCCCTCTGCGTTTCTCTGATTCAGACGACAACCTGTACCCATGTGTGGGGCAGTGTGTGTCTCTCATTTTAGAAAGCCGGCCATTGGCCTTGCTAAGGCAAGGTAATAAATTAACTGTGTTACTTTGTATATTAGCTGTACTAGTTGATCAACAGCAGCAGCTTAACAGACACCCCAACTTGACTACTGAGGGACAGCTCACACTGCCAACCTTTACTCCCAGCTCGGGAGTCTCACTGTTATACTGCTCACAAACAGCGACACTTGTTAATGCCCACTGCTCTAAATTCTTCTTTAGACAACTTTGTCATTATTCTAGTTTGAAGGTAATGTTTCTTTGTGAAATGTGTTATGTTGGCTGTTCCTAGAGTTTCTCTGTAGGATTCAGATCACAATGATAAAGGGTGCCCCAGAATGATGTGTCTGTAACATGAACAACTCTGGCCCAAGGAGAATTTTGCATAACAGAATCAATTTGCACAACTGTGATTTCAACATTTCACCAGAAGAGTCTAAACAGGGTTTCAAGGAGAATATTTGGACCGAAGAGAGATGAAGTGACAGGAGGTTGGAGAAAACTGCATAATGAGGAGCTTCATAACTTTTACTCTTCTCCAAGTATAATTAGAATGATCAAGTCAAGGAGGATGAGGTAGGCACGGCATGTAGCATGAATGGGGGAGAAGAGGAATGCATATAGAATATTGGTGGGAAAGACAGAAGGAAAGAGACCACTGGGAAGACCAAGACATAGGTGGGTGGACAATATTAAAATGGATCTTAGAGAGAGAGCATGGGGTGGTATGGATTGGATTGATCTGGCTCATGATAGGGACCAGTGGAGGGCTCTTGTGAAAACAGTAATGAACCTTCAGGTTCCATAAAATGCTGGAAAGCTCTTGAGTAGCTGCAGATTTGACGGATCCTCAAGAAGGGCTCAGCTCCACGAGTAAGTAAGTAAGTACCAGAGTAGTCTATTCATCAAGCCAATGAATCATCTCCCTTCTTTGATATTTGAGTGTAGGGCTTTCTTATGTTATGATATGGTGCATTGTAGACTGAAGTTAATGAGTCAAGATGGAGATTCTGAATTAACGATTTAACACATATATTTTTCATAAGTTGTTGAGTTCATCTGATTACAATAATCTCCACTGTTTAGGCTACTTTTCCATATCTGCACAGCATCAGGAATAAATCCATTTTCCCTGCTGGCATGTGCTATAATTAATCATGCATCTCTGGATACTTATCGACACAAACAAAATTATATCATCACTCAATGAGTTCCTTAACACATGAGAGGTAAAAGCTTGCATGACCCGCTATTTTTATGCCAGTACACAGTCCTAGCTGTTGTGAACTGAATGTGAGGAGGGTACTTAAGTCAGGAGGGACATGCAAGTGAGACTATAAATGGAAGACAATCAACACATAATGAACAGAAAAGACATTCATATTTAATTAACCCTTTTGCTGCATATTATTTTCTCACCATTCTCCTAAAAGGTAAAAATATGAAGAAAAAAATTCAATTTCATAGCATAGTAAATGAAGTCAAATGATACAGTGAAAGAAGACAATTATTTCTTGATGTGAACTAAGGTCAAATATCACATCATAAGGTAATGGATGCCGGTCACAGTAGCTGAGCGGTCTAAGGCATGCACTGTCTTCGCTTGCTCGGAAGCCGGGATCATGGGTTCGAATCCCACTCAGGGCATGGATGTTTGTGTGCGTTTTTCTGTGTTTGTCTACAGGTAGAGGCCTTGCGACGAGCTGATTACTCGCCCAAGGAGTCCTACCATATGTACCGAAGTGAATGGAGTTCATGGAGGTAGGCCTAGGCCCACTGGGGCTGTAGTGCCATAGTGCCAAGAAAAAAAAAAAGGTAATGATGCCTATTTAAATAAAATCATAAATATAATGTGACCCAAATGAAAATAAATGATCCCAGTATGGTCTATGCCTTGCTTGCCCATACGGTGGTAACCCCCCCCCCCCACACCAAATTAGAGGAGGGAATACCAAACAATCTACTCTAGCAAACAATATATGGGCTGGATTGTCTCAGAAAGGACCAATTAACCCAAACAATTTTTTAATAAAAGTCTGACAGAATTTCCAGCTTGACCTCACTAAGACAGATATCTGCAAGCAGTGAACACAGAGAAACACCAGCTAGGCCTGGCAAGACGGATAAGGGCACAAAGGAAGAAAGGATAGGAAGATGAATGCACGCAGAATGCACAGTCTGGGTGATGGATAAGGTGAATGGTCTGTACACAGCTGTGCATATGATCCAAGTGGCACACGTTTTATCCATGTACACAACTGCCTTTCCTTCTCACCTCTCCTGAGATATCTGTGAATTGTCATGAGTTGCTGTATCTGATGATATTTTAATGTATTAGTACAAGCTGCTGTAGTTGTTAAAAAACATTACATTTTGTACTCATTGTATTATGATAACATTACATGTATATACTAATATTCACAAAACATACTGTAATAGTGGTTTCTATTTGTACTGATATCCTTCTGAAGATGGTCTGTAAGACTGAAACATGTTAAGGATAAAATATTAAAAATGAGAAAAAACTCCATCAGTCACACTGGAAGGAATTAATTAACCTTTTAGAACATCACTAAGTTCTACCAGACGGCATAGCGTCACATTCTGAAGACAGCAACCTTCATAGTCATCACTGTGAGAATCTTAAATCTAACATTACCTCTGGAAAGTTTGCTAACTTTGGAACATTAGGCTTCCCAACAGCAATTATGTACGACTTTTTCTTTCGCTGCTTTGCTAGTTCTTTGAGTCTGTCCACAGCACCAAGGTAGTTTGAGGCACCCAATGTTCCGATGACAATCCCCATAGTTTTAGCATCTCTGATGCGTTCAATGAGGTGCATTCGTTTCATCAGAAACTTGTTGTTTTGAACATTATAGTGTTCAAGCTTCTTTGTTCCCGACGGATCATACCAATACAAATCTTTGCCTGTAAACAGTCAATACATTTTATTGAAAGTAATGTCCAAACCACGATGCCCATTATTTAGCACCTCTGATGTATTCAATGAGATGCATTCATTTCATCTGGAATTTATTATTCTTATCCCTGTAGTGTTCAAGCTGTTTTGGTCCTGGTGGATCATACCAATGCAAATTTCTGCCTGCAAACAATCAATATACAGAGCATCCCAAAAGTCAGTTAACCTAAAACAGTCCCTCATATTACTGGGAATGTTCAGATTTAAACCCACCAGTCAATATGTAAAATGGTATCACAGTATCACTGGTTGTGATCTCCTCTGATGGAGGATCTCTTTTTGAACAATTTTTGTAAATTTGGTTTGTAATGAAGAAATTTCTAATGTATTTTAGTGTACATTTCACTAGCCAGTTAATGGACTTTAGGGTCACCTTCATTTTATTTACAATATGTTGGAATGAATATTACAGATCACCAAAGATGAATTAAAGTCTTGGATAAAGAGTTCATACATAAGAAGAATTTCTCCACAAAACAGCACTATGGTTTCTAAAAAAAATGTTTTTAAGATATTCAAGCCATTACAAATTTCTACTAAAAGTCTCTTTTCATTAAATATTATGAGTATAAATAACAGAACAACACAATCATTGTGTCTTATCAAAATGGTTGGGACACACAGTTCATTTTACCTACATTGTATTTAAATAAGTAATATTACAAATAATTATTCGGCTTTATAATTATATACTTTAATTCAATTGTTTCACAATTTTAGGCTATTAAAAATCCAATTTCTCATTTCAGTGGGAAGTTTGAGATTTAGGATACAATTATTTATTTTTAATTATCTATTTTTAGTATCACAGCGACTACACATGAGGGCTCAGATTACTAAGCAAGTTTACTGAATGTTGAGCTGTCTTACTTACAAATAATTATACAGTTTATAAGTATTCATTATCATTTCACAATCTGTTATATCACTTTTGCTTGGTTCCTTGCTAGGTTACAATAACAGGGACTCCCTAGTGTGCTCTGATGTCGGTTCTAGTGCTGGCTCTGGCATGCTCCTTTATATTGGCTTGTTGCGAATAAATTCAAGAAAACTGATTCTGACTACTGTGGGTGTAATTATGGAAACATTTTTAACAATCCACTGGGTAGCAATGGAGGCTTTCATGACACTTCCGTGATTCTAATATTCTCCATATTCAGTGCCATGTCACTATAAATACATATACGTAGGGCAGTCAAAAAGTTCCTGGAATTCCCCTGCAGATGGAAAACGAGCGATAAGGTAACGCACACACACTGTTGTGGTGAGAAGCTCAGTATGTCTGCTTGCAGGCGCAACAGGTCTGGACACGTTTCAGTGTGCAGTGTCGTTACTGTTCCATTTGAATTAGATGTGAATGTTGGTCATTCGGCGCAATGTCGCAGTTTGAACAGCATGTGAACATCAAGTTCATGTGCAAATTGGGGCAATTTGCTTCAGAGGTGCTATCAGCCCTGCAGAAACTTTACGGTGATACTGCACTAAAGAAATCCACAGTTTGGCTGGTTTTCCCGGTTTAAGAATGGGCAGGAGACGTCAGAGGATGACCAGCGCAGCGGGAGACCTTCGACATCCAGAACCGAAGAAATGATTGGAAAAGAGCAACAACTGATTCAATGTGATCGGAGAATGACCATCGTGGAGTTGGAGCAAGTTGGTACTGTTACTGGCCATTTCTACGTGCAAGTTTTGCAGAGGTTGTGTGATGCGGTTTGGAGGAAGCGGCACGACAAGTGGCAGAGACAGCGGTTTCTGCATCACGATAATGCACCGAGCCACACATAGCTTGTTGTGCAGCAATTCCTCGCCAAGAAAAACATTCCTGTCATCACTCAACTGCCGTACTCTCCGGATCTTGCTCCAAGTGACTTTAGGCTGTTCTCTACTCTGAAAATGGGCCTCAAGGGTACATGTTTCACAACCATGGAGGACATCAAATTGAATGTGATGGCTGAGCTCCAGAAGATTCCAAATGAAGCCTTCCACCGCTGCTTCCAATGATGGCAGGATTGATGGAGCAAGTGTGTGGGTGGGCCATAACAGCCAACTTTCCATTAACAGCTAAAAAAAATCCCACCCAACGCATGGTATGGGGTTACAAAACTGGAGCCTTGCTACCCTCACTCTTCCCCTTCACATCCTGTCCTTACACTTACATCATCATCCTCAGAATTTTACCCATGCACTCTAAAAAATAAGAAACTGTAATTACACACACATACTACATGAAGATAATTAAAACGTCATGAAGTTCCTGGAATGAGATCATTTTGGATACTGATGTGTAGATGGGATGATAATATTAATCTGAATTTTAGGGAAATAAATTCTGAAAATTTGAAACAGATTAATTTTGGTCTGGATCAGTTTTCTGTACCAGGATGCAAACTGCTAAATATGGAATAACTGTGAAGTTAGAAGTCTGAAGGCTGTAAAATTATGCACATCTTTAGAATATTTTCAAATACTCAATAATCTAGCCATGGGTCTGCATTACTACATCTGAACTGCTACATCATCTCAACAAGAATAATCAGTGTGGTCCACTGATGTCAATGCAATACACTCTATCAGTATAATGGTCCATTTCTGATCACATAGCTTCATGAGTACCTAAAATTAAAATTCTACTTTTAATAAACTGCACCTCTTGTAACATACCAAGAAATGTCAGGGCTATGTTGGACAGTGTAGGTCCATCTCTTCCTATAAACACAATGGAGTATTCCTCTAGTCTTGATTCATTCAGCAATTTGAAATGTCTGCCCAGTTTTGTCCCTTCATCTGCTTCAGGACTTCTGTTAGTAATGGCCAGTTCTGAGACAATCATGTTAGGAAAATCCGTTGCAATGTTTGCAATGATGGAATCTGGGAAGAAACAAATAAAGATCACACTGCATCTATGATTGTACATGAAAAATCGTTTATCTTTATAAGAGATATCTGAACTCTTACACCTCTTAATACAGTGAAAATAAACACCGTGACTTGTAGTCTGCAAGCAAACTATACCGACCGAGCAACTGCCACTTAGCGAAGTTAGTGTCAACTTTTGCGGATAGAGGGTGTCGCGTTGTCAGCGCAATGAATCCGCACAGCCGTCGATCTCGGTTTTCTAGACTGGAGTCGCTATTTCCTTGAAATAGCTCCTCAATTATCCTCACGAGGCTGAGTGGACCCTGTTCCAGACCCACTACTTATCAGAAAATTGGGTAGTGTCAGGAATTGAATCCAGGGCCTCTGGATCTGCAGCCAGGAACTCTGACCACTGGACCACAGATGCGGTGTTACACCTCTTAATACATAAATAAATAGCAGAAATCCATCAAGTGTAAATAGTTTAAAAGGGAGAAGTAAAGTTTTGTCCTTACATGTTTTAGGCCTTACTGGCCATCATCAGAAGATACAACCAACACTGTAAAGGACCTACCTTACATATTCATAAGTTGTTACTGCAGTATCACAAAAGGCCTTGTATAATTACAGAAATAAAGATTAAATAGTTAATACGGTTCAAATAAATGGTGAATATCAACAGTATTTGGTTAATAAAAACTAAAGTAAGTTAAAATTTCTTGCTGAATAGACAGAAGAATGTAATGACAGCCTTCATTTCTACTGTTGGTTATACACAATATTTTATCAACTACTGTATCGCGGACATGTCCGTCTGTATGATGTTGCTGTGTGTAATCCAGTGAAGTACAAGGTAGTGCAGGAACCCTACCACGTTACTTCACCGGATTACACACACTACCATGTGCTTCACCAGATTAAACATATCCCCTACATCCTTAATGAGATACCTCATCCTCTCTCTCTAAGCTCCATTTTAATATTACCTACTCACATAAGTGTAGGTCTTCCTTCTGGTTTTCTCAGCAAAATCCTACATGCATTCCTCCTATCCACAATTTGTACTACATTCCCTGCCCATCTCATTCTCCTTGACTTGATCATTCTAATTATACTTGGAGAAGAGTACAAGTTATGAAGATCCTCTTTATGCAGTTCTCTTCAACTCCTATCACTTCATCTCTTTTTGGTCCAAATATTCCCCTCAGCTCCATGTTCTCAAACATCCTCAGTCTATGTTCCTACCTCAATGTCACCAAACCACAGACAAAATTATATATAAAATAAACATTATTTAACACAAATGTGAAATTCAATATTATATGGATGTTGGTGACTGTAGGACCACCTCTGTGGTCTAGTGGTCAGAGCTCCTAGCTACAGATCCAGAGGTCCGGGTTAGATTCCTGGCACTACCAGATTTTCTGAGAAGTAGTGGGTCTGGAATGGGGCCCACTCAGCCTCATGAGGATAATTGAGGAGCTATTTCAAGGAAATAGCGACTCCGGTCTGGAAAACCGAAATTAATGGCAGTGGGGATCCGTTGCGCTGACCACGCGATACCCTCTAACCGCTAATGTTGGCACTAACTTCGCCGACAAGCGGCGGTCGCTCGGACAGTATAGTTCCCTTGTAGACTACAGGCCATGGAGTTTAGTTTAAGGATGTTGGTAAGTAAATTATGTAAAAAATTATGCATATCTACACAAAATATGAAACTGCTATGGATGTTATAAGAGGGACTCCAGTGGTCAAAAACATAAAAAATTAAACTGTGTGCATCATTAATATATTTTGGAAAATGAAATCTGACTCACCAACAGCATGTTGATAGCAGACATCATACAAGAGGAGGATTTTAGTAGTCTTGCATGTGAACACACATCTGAAGCAGGACACAAAGTGATGACAGTCGACTGGCAGTTTCTCAAACACATACAGCTTAGGCAAAGAGCCATTTGTAGGAGTAAGGCAAGCGTGGCCAAAATGGATAATCCCATCAGCATTGACATGCTGTGCGGCCACTTCATCCACACAGCAGCTGTTCAAGATAAACATAACGTCTGGACAAGAGATGCAACATAAAGAAAAAGCATGCATTTCAGACAATCACAAATCTTGAGTTTTACAGGGTAACATCTCGTGAATCTGATGCTCCCTTACAGAATACACAACATTGTGCTCAGTAAACTAACTGAAGGAGAAAGAGATGCCAATACTATTGTAGATTTACAAGAAACTGTGTTACTGTTGTTGCTTATCCCACAATTTTACTATTAAATTATACAATGATGACAAAGTATTGGTGGGTCATGGGTACAGGTCAAGTACAAGGCAATACAATGAAACTGGAACATCATTTACAGACAACAAAAGAAAAACAAACTCCGTGTTTTTAGTCCGCAAGCAGACTATACTGACCGAGTGACCACCGCTTGTCAGTGAAGTTAGTGCCAACTTTTGCAGATAGAGGGTGTCGCATGGTCAGCGCAACAAATCCCCATAGCTGTCGATCTCGGTTTTCTAGACTGGAGCCGCTATTTCCTTCAAAGAGCTCCCCAATGATCCTCATGAGGCTGAGTGGACGCTGTTCCAGATCCACTACTTCTCAGAAAATTTGAGAGCACCAGGAATCGAATCCATGACCTCTGGATCTGTAGGCAGGAACTCTGACCACTAGACCACAGAGGTGGTCACATAATTTACAGATCCTTGTTTTAATGCATATAATTGTCAGACAGATGTGTCTACATAAACATACATAAAGAGGTACCCCCACAAGCTGGAGAATTATCCCTTGTCAGCTGTCCGCACCTGCTTATTCAATATATTCACAGCTGTCCTCCATATATGGAAGCTCCATTGCCAACCTGAGGACACACCATGCTGCAGTGATAATGGATCTACTTAACGTGGAACAGGTATGTCCTCACTGCAAAAATTGGGTAAATTGAAATTGTGTAATTCAAACTCCAAATATTCAGCCTCCAGCATTTGCAGTTAACAAGGTTTTAGTCTATATGATTGGAAAAGTGTACAGTAGCAGTCCTTAAACTGTCCTTCAAGAGCCACCATTACTCTCCAGCATTAAAGCACATACATTATTTTCATGCATTCCTCCAATTGCCTTAACCTGTAGAACTCACAAAATGGATCATTCTTAAATCATTTTTGAAATGGCAGTGAAAAGAATCTCTACCTTATATGTACAAACACTTCTGCCAGTATACTCCTCAGCTTCAATATTCTACTATGACATGACTAGCAAATGAGGTTATGATGGATAAATATAAAAATTCCATGCAAGAAATTGGAACATAAGAAGCAACCACAATTACTTGAGTACTCACCTCCCATAAGATGTATCACCAAGAATATAAGGTACAGTGCCTATCTTTTTCCCCAAACGAAGTGCTACCTCTACAGAATCACAGAGAAGGGCATCTGGGAACTGCAAACAAATCTGAACAACAAAAGGATAAAAATAAACATTAGTCTTCCATATGTGGGCTGTGATGTAATTCTGAACTTTAAAGTGTTTTAGGGAGCTAAATTAATCAAAACCCATAAAACCAAAAGAAAAATATGAAACTACTGGCATTGTGGTATNTGAAATTGTTTCTGTGCTCTTTTGTGACTATGAACCACCTTAAACTCTGGCAACAATTTGATTCTCAAATATTGTTGAAAAATGAACTAATCAATTAATTATAAAGGGAAAACAAAATTTTATTAACGGCAGTTCACTAAACTTGAGTTTTCTAAAATGATCATTCATTCTCACAATAACAACTGCTTCAATATATCTGCTACTGAAGTTTTAAAGCATACTTTAAGACATCAAAGGATTCTATGAAATACAACTGTTTCATTTAAATTAAAACCATCTATGCGATTTTAAATTAGTTTTTTTTTCTTTTTGTTCATAAAATAAGCTGACTTTGCAAAGCATTCTTTCACTGCCACTCTATCAATTACTGAATATGTATTTGCATAAGCATTACTGAAGTACCAGCTACATAAAATATGCTGAATGTTTGACACTATCAAACAGACCCCTGACAATGCTTCTTCTGATAACTGCTCTGCATGCAATTAAATGTAGCCTGAATAAAACAGCAAAAAAAAGAAAAACAAAAAACAAAGGCAATACCTTGTTTAACTCATTTTTCTTTGTCCATTCAGCACATTTGTCCAGTTCATAATAACAATCAATGTCACGTGTAGCAACCGAACGACTGCCTTCTCCAATGTCTGCTTTTCGCTCTAAAACTGCATTTTCATTACTACTGAACGCAAACATATTTCTGTTTACTCTATTGTGGGCAGTTACTCAATCTCTACTTTACGATTTAAACTTTTCACTCATAGCACTCATACGTTCGTGTTGTCTTCTGCTCAAACTTCGCATTTCGATTAGCAATTGTTTAGTTTTTTGTTTCCCTTGATTACATATTATTCTAATTTTTCTGGTCTTAGATGGCAAAGAGAACATCACTTTTCCATAAGCATGTAACGTTATACTGCTGATAACAGATTAAAATTTAGCAGTCATAACGTATACAACCCGCAATTTCTTGACTTTGACGCCTTCCTGCAAATGTCAATATCGTCAAATAGACGGCAAATATGACCTCTTCGACCCTTCGACAATTTCTGACAAACCATGAAAGAACGAATGTGTACAGTAGTGGCAATAATAGCGAAGCTTGTGTGTTATGTTAAAACAAATTATTTAAATTCATTGACTGCAAATTAATACCAGTTGAGACTGTGATTTCCAAGCAGCAAGTAGTGCAAATAAAATACATAATAATGCCAGGTAATATCTTGTTCTCCTCAGTGACAGTGTCAACCCTACTATTAGGTTATGTTCACGTCAGTGTGACGTGGTATGGTATCAGGAAGTAGATATTCGTGTAAATTACATGATAATGCCAAGTAGCCCAGGTAGTAGCCTGGTTCCAGTCAATAGCAGTGCAAACGTGATATGTCCTACCATAATGTTATGTACACATTGTTCATGACGGCTTTGTTTTTGGTATGGTGTGTGTTAGGACCGTATTGCATTTGTATTATTTTCCTATAGAAATGTCTGCAGTTACAGTAATATAATTGTGATGCGTTCGTACCTGTAACTGGTATTTCATTGACACTGATTGCAAATCCAACTTTTCATTAATTCAGTGCACTCTGTTAAGGATGACAGTAGTTTGTGAAGCAGTGTTTAAAGAGGTGGTGGTTATTTTATGTGGTATTTTTCATACACATATATGGTGGAATTGAAGGAACCCTTGATCAACTTCTTGAGATATTCATAATATTTCATAATGCTTAAAATCATTGGAATAGTCTCATAATTAAATGTTAATGTATCTTAACAAGGCACAGGACTATGAACATTAATTTGCGTTTTGTTTTCAGCTTTGCATGGATGTAGTGTAGAATGTGATGACAATGTTAATACCAATAGTTCTGGGAATTTTGTTTCCAATCTCTTACATTGCCAACATTTTGGCATCAAGAGCAGAGATAGTGATGGAATCCAGTTACAGAGAGCCATTCAGTAAACTGCAACGTCAATTCTTTATCGTCTACTTTGTAGCAGCTTTCCCAGATTGGTTGCAAGGACCATATATATACCAGCTGTATAGCAACTATGGCTATACTGAACCTCAGATAGCACTATTGTATGTCACTGGTTTCATCTCCAGCATGATCTGTGGTACAGGGGTAAGTCATGTATATGTGATAGAGATTAAGATTTTTGTTTCATTAAAATTTCCCTGGCCAGTGCTTGAAATTCAAGTTAATATCTCTCCAAGTTCTGGTTGATAATGTGGCTAGTTTCTGTTTCTTCTCATTTTTTAACAGTATAACAATTTATGGTAATCACCGTATATATCTGATGATGGTCCAGTGTCACTGGATTTAAATGAAAGCATGATTCAGCCAGTAATCTGTGAAACTTCACTGA